TGCCTGCTGAGCCATCTTCATGACCCTCTTTTGATTGATTGATTGATTGATTGATTTTTTTTTTTTTTTTAAATCACAACAGGCCATCACTTGAGCTACATCATTGTAAGCCAGGGTACAGTGAAACTGCTGAACTAGACCGCTTCATGGATGGAAAGGAAGGTTTATGGGGCATCAGACCGTTTAGGCTGTCTTTCAGGAGCAAAGAGAAAAGAAAAATGGTAGAAAAGCAAGCAGATTGTATGCTAGCAGAGTGGGGTCTTTGAGTTGATACAGGCTGTTTAGATGCCTGTATGTCTTGCCCTAGGTCGTTCCCCTTTGGGGCCAAGTAAGAGAGGTTCCAGATGGTTTACGGGAGGCTCCTGGCAAACAGGAACCCACCTTTATAGCTCTGTTTACCCAATAACAATCCTTCTATTTACCCTGCCAAAGTTTTCTGTTTAGGACACTGTCACCAGCATTGCCATTTTGGGAGGCCACTTGGACTTAACAACCATACTCAGTATAATTACAATAAAAATAAAGGCCCATTAAGATGGAAAAAAATTTTTTTTTCTTCAATCAAGAGATTAGAATCCCTAGTCTGGATAGAGACCTAACATTCCAGCTGGGTAGTTCAGTCACCTGGCTACGGCACCTTAAGTAGCAGGTGGAAGGCAGGTCCACCTCAATCAGTTCTCAAGAAATAGGAGGAATAGCTATCTTTTTAATGAGACAGTGTACTTTTCTTGCCCAGAATTCCTGCCCCCATCACAACTCTGTACAGCGCTCCAGATATGCAGCCTTTGTAAAGCCTGTCCACTTCTCAGAATTACGCAAACATTTATGACTTTCTGTTTCCATCTGTGTCTCATCTCATGCTTTCCCTAGTACTCTGGGCTTCACTTTTCCTAAAAGTTCCTTCTCTGCCGAGTAACTGTTCGTCTGCCATTCGGCTAACCTTCATGCCAACCCACCTTCAGATGACAGACTTCCTCTTTGCCCTCTTCTCTTCATCTGGGTTGCTGTGAGATTCACAGGTTTCCTGTTGTGGTGGTTTGAATAAAAGTGGCCCATATAGTCATATATATATATATATATATATATATATATATATATATATGCCATATATATAGGCTCATATATTTGAATGCTTAGTCAGCGGGAAGTGGCACTTTCTGATAGGTTAGAAAGAGTAGGTATGGCCTGTTGGAGGAAATGTGTCACTGGGACGGGCTGTTAGGTTTCAAAGCCTTGAGTCTCTCTCTCTGGACACCTGTCCTGGAGTATTTAAAAAACTCTAATAAAGTTGTCTTCAAGTTTTCTTTCTGTATCCATTCTTAAGTTCTTTTTTTAGTGAGACTAAGAGTCCACAAGGGGACTTCAGTTTATGCAGTAACGTGGTAATTCCTTTGGGACTGCCTCAGATTTCTGTTAAAACCATCATTGTTTTAGTCAACAGTTATTTATTTAGTGTGGGGAATAAATCGTGTGGAATCAGAGAACAACTATAATCAGTTCTCTCCTTCTCTCACGAAGTTCTGGGGATTGAACTTGGGTCTTTAGGCTTAGTAGCAAGCAAACTCACTCACTGAATCATCTGGCCAGCCCTTCTTATTTTGAGCCAGGGTCCCTAGCTATGTAGACTCAGCTAGTTTTGATTTTGAGATAATCCTCCTACCTCTGCCTCCTGAATGCCGGGATTATAGATGTCTGACCCTCAAGAAATTCTCAAGCAGGGTGTAGTGGCGCTCACCTGTAATTCTAAATGCTTGGGAGGTGGAGGCAAGAGCTCAGGGTCAGCCACAGCTATGTCACAAGTTCAAAGCCAACCAGAGCTGCACAAGACATTCTCAAACAAACTAAAAAGAGAGGACCTGGGAGAGAGGAAACCACGATCAGAATATAATGTATGAAAAAAATTATTTTATTAAAAACAAAACAACAGCAACAAAATCTTATCCTGCCTTAATGGACAGAGCAATCCAAACAGCAAGTCCTCAAATGTGATAATGGGAAGTGGAGAAAAGTGCACTTGGCACCTCATGTTTTCGGTTTTCACTGTGGCTGCTAATGAGCTCCTGTGAGCACATCTGCAAGACAATAGGATTGATCTCCAGCAAAGGGCCCGTTGTAATGGCTGCTGTCCTCCTCAGGATTAAAACCACTATGATGAAACACTTGAGCCTACCCGCCAGCAAGCTGGCAAAGAAAGGGTGTATTTGGCTCACACTTCCACATCACTGAAGGAAGTCAGGACAGGAATTCAAGCAGGGCTGGACCCTGGAGAAGCCACGGAGGGGTGCTGGTGACTGGCTTGCTCAGCAATCCACCAGCCCACAGATAGCCCCACCCACAACCGGCTGGGCCCTCCCCCATCAGGCCCTGACTGAGAAAATGCCCTACAGGCTTGTCCACAGCTGGATTTTATGGAGCCATTTTCTTAATTGAGGTTTCCTCGTCTCAGATGACTTTAGCTTGTATCAAACTGACAAAACTACCCAGCACAGCTGCCTAGGCTCCTCATCCCTGCTGATGTGTGTGGGCCATGATTCCTTTCTGCCACTTCTTCACTCCATGTGGTCTCCCAAGCTCTGCTACAATGCCTGGTGAGAACTGAGGCCCTTGCAGACCTCAGGAGTCTAAGCGGCCTTCTGTTTTTTTTTTTTTTTTTAATTTCCTTTAGCAGCGTACACTCAAGAATGTGTGTGCCATCTTCTTAACAAGTTACAGCAGGGTTGTGGTAAACTATTTAAAATGTATCTTAGTCTGTGAAAATGATGTTCAAGGGCCAGAGAGATGGCTCAGCAGTCAAGAGCACTTGTTGCTCTTGCAGAGTTTAAGTGTTACAGCTCTGAGGAAAGAGGCTTCCCCTAGGGGAGTGTCACAGCTCCCCTCCAGGGTGGGGGAGATATTCCCCTACGGCTAGAGTTACAGCTCTGCTCTGGCAGGGCCGAGAGGGGTGGGGCAGGGGTGGAGCACAAGAACCCAGGAATGATGCTGGCTCCAGGTGAAGAAGCAAGAAGCAGCACAGAAGGGCGCAGAAAACGGGGTTTATACAGTTTCTTGGAGCGGAGTTTACCACAGAGTTCGGGCTTTTTACTCTGTAGGGGGCAGGGTGGGTCTGGTCGGCCTTTAGGGAAATGACTGTTCTGTGGGTGGATCCTGGCGGCTGGAGGTCCTCAGGGAAGAGGCCTGAGCCTACGGGGACAAGCGCCAGAGGACCTGAGTTCCGTTCCCAGCACCAAAAAGGTGGTTTACGCCATCCTGAAATCCAAATAATTTCTCCTGACCTAGGCACACACGTGATACACATACATATACATGCAGGCAAAACAACCATACATATAAAAAATTTAAAACGTTAAGAAATCTAGAGCCGGGTGGCCCATGCCTGTTATCCTAGCACTCTGGGAGGCAGAGGCAGGCGGATCTCTGTGAGTTCCAGGCCAGCCTGGTCCACAAAGTGAGTCCAGGACAGCCAAGGCTGCACAGAGAAAATTTGTATCGAAAAACAGGACTGGGAGACCTAGCGTCCTAGAAAGATGGATGCTTCGCAGTTCTTGGCCTGTGGCTGTTTCTCCTCTCTCCCTTCCCTGAGAAACACGCAGTGGGGAAGACGTTGTAGGCTTCCAGGTGTCCGGCTGCAAGCCAGTGTCCACGAGGCCCTTCCTTGCTGTACGGGCTGACAGCCCCCACCCGTCACCCAGTGACCCCCCGCAGTCCCTACCGCCACGTGCAGGTCGGAGGACACAGAGGCGCCCTCACCGGGGACTTTTTTTTTTTTGCTGGTTTCAGGCTTTTTTCTGCTTGAGTGGAGATGAAACAAACATCATCCCTCTCGCAGCCAGACACACGTGCACTCGCGCCGGGCGCTGTGTCCGGGGCGGGGACCCGCTAGGCTCCCACTCCCTGGTCGGCGCACGCCGCTGGCCCCGCGCCCTCGGACGCCGCGCGCGCTGCCCCTAGGAGGCGCCGCGGCGGGGTGGGGGGACGGAGGCGCGCACCCCGCCTGGGTCTCCTGCGGCGCAGTGCCCGCGAGCGCGCTCCGGTTCCCGGCGCGGCCGACAGCACCCACCGGGCCTGGTTCCGCCGATCAGGTGGGTCCCGCGGGGCGCGCGCGCGGGGAGGCGGTGGGTGCGATCGGGGCGCGCCGCTGCTCCGGCCCAGCCCTGCTACGGTCCTTGCTTTTGTCCTGGTCACTTGATCGTTTCCTCCGTGCCCGGTTCTGCGTTCCAGGCTCAGTCTCAGCCTGGACCGCGTCGCAGCATCTATTCAGCATTCTAGACCAGGCCCTGATGGTCTGCTTGTCCGGGTCGCCCCCTCCCCTCGGCATGCAAAAGCAAGGTTGGGCAGGGCAGGGCTGGGCAGGGCTGGGCAGGGCAGGGCGTCTCGGGACCACCGAGGGAATCTCGAAAGGCCGGGTATCTTTTCCTGCTGTAGGACAGGACCGAGTGGGAAAGCTTTTTCTCCGGACAGGTGGGGTTAAAGTGAGGGGCTCCCGAATTCCAGAGACAGATAGGCAGACAGACTCTTAACAGCGGAGGAAGGACCAAACCCGGGCAAAGTCTCTAACTTTGCAGTGTGGGGTGATGGGAGGTAAGCCCGTCCCAACTTTTCGAACCTCCTTCCCACTGCAAAGAGACACCATCCGGCGTTTGAAGATGGCAGGGAAACTGATCAACAGAACTAAAGGAAACACACACAGACGTTTTATTATTTTACCTTTATCTTATGGTAGCATACAAAGTAATGCATTTCACTATGGCATTTTCGTACATAGGTGATTGCACAAACTCTTGAAAAGCATCCAAGAAACAGCAAAGCGGGAAATATGTCTGGGCTGGGGGCTCAGAGGAGGGAGCAGGGCGACTGGAGAGATTTGCTGTCTACCCGGTTAGCAGGGCCTGGGTGGAGGCTCGGAGGGCGGGGGTGTTAGCGCCACTAGCTCCTCCTCCAGGAAGGACCCGCGACCCAGCGACTCTTATTTTTGTGGTTTTGCTCGTCTGGGCACTTTCGGCCCCAGAACTGATCTGGCTACCTCTTTCATTTGCCTGGAGGTAGCTAGGTGAGTCTCAGGAGGCTGGAGATTCTGGGCGGAGCCCTGGGCTTGTCTTTTTTTAGCTGGGAGACACCTTCCCTGGCAGACTCTTCTTGGAATGCGAAATACTGCCTGCTGAAGACCTCGCGCTCAGGCTCTGGGTAGGCAATGGCGAGGGAGCTCGCCCGTGGCTCGGGGTGTGCAGGGGTTGGGGCGGCAGGAGCTTCTGCCTTTTGGTGGCACTAGGCACCTTCATCACAGTTATTTTTGGGAGTAGTTGCTTCCTGTCTGATAGGAGCCAGATGCGGGTCCAAGCTGTCTCTGTTGCAAGTAACAGGTGTCCCATGACTAAATGCAGGGCTGAAAGCTTCCTTGGGATTATCTGGTTCCGGAGGCCGTGAGTACTGGCTCAGGCTCCACATGGCTGAGGAGGGGTACCTGGAGGCCCCTGGCACCTGCTCCTCCAAGCTTATTGGATAAAATCTACTTCGTGTCTGTGTTAGGAGCTCACCCCAGAGTATGTTTGGGGGAGTCCTCCTGTCGCCATACCCTGTGGAAGGGCCAGTTTTCCGTGGAATGCCTGAGGTTAGAAGGTTTGAGAAGATCAATTGATTACTGTGGGGACTCCCTGTGGCTGAACTTTTCCGGGAAACGTCCTGAGTCACAGGGCAGGAGCAGCCATTTCCTCAGCTGACACTTCTAAGCTTGGGCTGACCATGAATGAGTCTTATTCCCTGGACTTCTGGGTCTTTCGTGGGACTTTTAGTGTAAACGGGTCTCCCACGTTCTCTAGCCTAACTTGACAGTCTAGGCACCTTTGGCTCGATTTATAGAGAAGGAAACCAAAGATCGGAGAAGCCAAAGCCACTGGCTGCTTTATGGTTTGTGAGAGTAAGTTGAATCTGAGATGGGAATGCATTCCAGGTTATCTATAAGGCTTATATGCTTTCAGTTCAGCATCTCCCACCATGGCTGGAAAACGGCTAAGGAACATGCCGTGGCCATGGGGGAAGGGCTGGGGCACAGTGGAGGGGGGGATGTATTGGTTGGGGGCTGAGCATTTAAACAGGTGCAGTCAGGTGTGAATATTATTTTATTTGAAGAGAATATGCTTTCAGCTCTGTGCTTTCTGCCTATTTTGGATACTTAAAATTTACTTACTAGTTTTTAAATTACAGTGTAATTTACAGGCATTAAAATCCATGTGTCATGAACATTTTTGGTTTAATGAGTTGGAAGGTTTTGGAGGGACAGTCCTTGTATCTACTCCAGGCTGCTCATTTTCTGTGAAGTGGCTGAGGTCTTTTGTTGGGGAGGGGTCTGTCCACCTGGTCTGTCCAGGACAGACCAAAACATGGATAACACCAAAGTCCAGCGTGGTGAACCAGTGAGCTTTATTGGGGTACTTACGGGAATATGGGTGAGGGGTTACCTATGGGAGCAGAAGTAACTCACAAACAACTACATCATCAAAGCCCACCCCAGCATAGGTGATAGCTCACAAAGAGCCTGCAGGCAGCTCAGCAGGTTGGAGAGCGTTCTTTGCAAGTAACTGGTCTAAAATTACTCCTCCAGGGCGCTCAGCTGGTTTCTGCTCCTTCCAGGCAGCTGGTCTGGTCTCAGTCTTCTTTGCAGCTCAGTTTCCGTCCGTCCGAATGTCAGGGACTCTCAGCATTTATTGCTTGCTCTGGCTGGGAGGGGGACCTGAGAATTTGGTCAGTTTCAGGGACTTCCTGAAGCTATTTTTATTGTTCTTCTTGTTTACCTCCCTGCTAAAGAAGCTCCCCTGCAGGACTGAATGTTTTAATATAGAAGGAGATTGTTACAAGTCTTCCCCCTGCCCGGAGACAGAGTTTCTCTGTGTAGCCTTGGCTGTCCTGGACTCACTTTGTAGACAAGGGTAGCTTCAAACTCAGAGATCCGCCTGCCTCTGCCTCCCTGAGCGCTGGGATCATGGGCGAGCTTGTGCTGCCTCGCCTGGCTCACGTTACACCTCAAGTCCTGAGGTGTGTGTTTGGGGAGGGGACAGACTTCATTGATGTGGACATTTGAACCCGGAACCTTCACACACCCACACTCAGCCTGGGTGGTTGTTACCCACCGAGCTATATCCCCTAGTCCCTGTGAGCTGCAGTTTCTTTTGAAGCGGGGTCTTGCTTTGTAAGGGCCGACAGGCTTCGGGCCCTCCACGTTCATTTCCCCATCTCAGCTTCCAGAGTGTTGAAGACACGAGTGTGCCCCACTGCGCCTCTCCTAACACAGCTCCGTGAAAGTTTGCTGGGATTTCTGATTTGCTTGTTTGTTTGGTTTTGTTTTTTAAATTTTGAGCGCCGTTTTATTAGCCTTTGAAGAGAATGGCAAATAGGCAAACCATAAATCTTGGCAGGGACTGGGAGAAGAGAGAGTCATGTTTTTTGAGCGTGCGTGCGTGTGTATGTGTGTGTGTGTGTGTGTGATCATCAGAGAAACAGAGTCTCAGAGGATCAGTGGAGACATGCTTAGGATTTCAGCTGGAGTCCAAAGAAGAGACCAAAAGAGGTTGAAGGAAAAGTTCCGCTTTTTAAGTGAAAACTCAGAAAATTAAGCAGGCTTAGTGGTGAAGATGTGTAACTGGTGAGGGAGGGGCCTCCTGGACATATTATCTCTCTAAAGGGATAATTATTCTCTCCTGTGGCCTCAGCAGCTGTGTCACCCTTCCTTCAGGTTGGTCTCCGGGCCAGGTGATTGACAGACCCAGTTGAATTAATTTTAGGGAAAGGACAACATTGTGTAATATTATTATAATATTTGCGACTGATTAGAACCAGTCAGGGCAAGCCAGGTGTGGTGGCGGGCACCTTTCGCCCCACCTCTCAGGGAGGCAGAGGCCAGCCTGGTCTACAAAGCAAGTCCAAGACAGTCAAGGCTACACAGAGAAACTCTGTCTCTAGAGGGGCCGGGGAAGAATGTCATGTCTCCCAAGGCCATCGATAGGACTTAGATTCCATTCTTTGACTCAGAGAAAGGAACTTTCCCCTTAATGGGCCTCCCAAAGCCCTCACACCTCCACATCTCTGGGAGACATCCATCTTCAGTGGCCTCCAAGCTTGTTAATGCCTGTCTAACTAATATTTCCTCAGGAGTTGAGACTTAACACTTAGGAGATGGCTGCCTGGTGGGTCTGGGTACCTCCATCTGAAATGGAGGCAGCAGAAGGGCTATCAGAGGGTGGATCCGAGGTGAAAGACAGGAGGTCCAGTCATGTAGCCCCTGAGGTGAACAGGACTGTTGCTAAAGTTACAACAGACAGAACTCGTTTCCGCCACGGGGGTCTGGACACCGTCCCCGTCTTGTCTGCCTGAATCGGATTTTGTAGATCCGTGTGAAGCAGATGTGCCATGTAACAGGATGCGCAAACGCACAGGATACGGATACGGCGTTTTGTTTACAGTCAGGAAGAGCTGGGCGCCCTTTGCTCTGACAGCCCTCCAGTAGCCGGTGGAGGCTTGTAAGGCCTGACTCATCCCTTTCAAGTCTAGCCACCACTTTTATTTTGTCTTCACCAGTTAGTTGACTCTTTGGCTGTACTTTCCTGCTGGGTGGTTAAGACCATGTAGGTAATGGACAACTTCGTTTTCTTTTTATTGTTAAGGTCTGTTAGTACTCCTCAGGGAGTTGGTACTCTTAGGGACTAAAGGAGGGCCCTTAAGTCTGTTAGTCTTTCTCCTGACAGTTTTTGCCATCTGCTGGGATGAGTCAGGGGCTTGTTGACCCTGTGGTTTCCCTTGGAGTCCTGAGAGCGTTTCCCTCTGCGTTGATCTTTCTCCTTGCAGACAGTATAATAGTTAGCTCCAGCCTTTGCCACTCTGTGGCTCCTGTAACCCAGAGGACACGTGATTTGCATGAACTTTCAGGACCCTTTGGGAAGTGTCCCTTCATCCCTTGGAGCCCAGTTGACTCAGGTAGGGACCAAAATAATGACTATTCTGTCAGGCTCCGTATCTTCACTGGCTGGTCCAAGTTTGGTTGTTGACCACTCCTACCCCCAGAAGGTCAGTTAGGATAGCCTTGAAGAGAAGCTTTTACCAGACAAATTTAGCAAGAGGATGATGGTAAATATTTCTATTATTATTATTAAGTTTTGATCTTAAAGTTTATTTATTTTTTTCAAGGCAGGGTTTCTCGGTGTAGCCCTGGCTGTCCTGGAACTCACTCTGTAGACAGGGCTGGTCTCGAACTCAGAGAGATCCGCCCCCTGCCTCTGACTCTTAAGTGGTGGGATCAAAGGCGTGCGCCACCACCACCAGCTGATCTGAAAGCTTGAATTACAGGGATTTTCCAGAGAGTACGCACTCTCTCTAACAAGTTGCTGTGAACTCCCAAGACACTGGACAAGACACTTCTTTCTCTCTGAGGCTTAGGGATGGACTTTGTCCTACTCACAGAGACTGCACTTGAATCTGTTCAAGGAAGAGTAAGGTTAGAAACCTGGGAGCTGCGGCAGGAACAGGCAGTACTAATTCTGAGTCATGGTGGTTGATGAAAATAAAGATGCAGAAGTTGACTGGGAATTGGGGTCCATGCTCCTTCTAGTGCTGGAGTACCTTAGTTATTGGGGTCTAAGTTCCCCAGCTGGTGATGCTCAGCATCCACAGCTTGCTTTGCTCAGTGGACACACATGGATACACACACATATACAAACACACAAACAAGACCCACACACACACAGGTACTCTCTCATACACTCGCACACAGATACACACACAGGCATTCTCTCTCACGTATACACACTCATGCACACTCAGGTCCTCTCATACACACTCACACAGCCCCTGACACACACACATTGTCACACACATACTCTTACACACTCCCACAGACACCGACATACAAACTCACCCACTTACACACAAACACATAGACTCTCTCTTACACACACACACACGCACAGAGTAAAGATAATTGCTTCTTGGACATGCCTGTAATTTCCTTCCTGGAAGAATTGGAGTAATTGAGAGCCTTTTACTCTGGTTAACGTGTTGGAGGCTTATGGCTCTGGGGGAATGTTTGTTCCCTTTAGGACCTGCAGGTCACCAGCTTGTTTTACATTTTGTTCCTGGTCATGTTCTCGTCTTCAAAACAAAATTCAATGGTTAAACACACACACACACACACACACACA